GCCGAGCAGGGAGCCCGATGCGGGACTCGATCCCGGGACTCCAGGATCATGACCTGAGCCGAAGGCAGTCGCTTAACCAACTGTTCAGCTTCATTTTTAACTACCTTAGAGCAAAGCTGTGAAGATCAAGTGAGGAAATAAATATCCAAAGCACTTTTAAGACAGCAGCATCAGACACAGCTTCAACCACAAAGAATACTGAAGGTAAATGAAAACAGAGGAAAATATTGCAAGCACAATCCCAACATAACAAAGGGTAAGTGGCACAAAGAGAAATTCACAGAAGAAATGTTAATGATACTTATTTCTTAGAAAACAAATAGTTAATTCATTTGTGGATCACAAAATATATGAAAACGAAAGCACACACAGTTTCCTTTTTTTCTACCATGAAATTGGCAAGGATTAATAATTATCACAAAGGCAGCATCTCAAATCACTGGAGAAAAGATAGGGATTATTCAATAAAAGTACTGACAAGTAGGTAGCCACTGAAGACAAATAAAGTTGGCTCTCTATTTATGATAAACCTTTCATTAGGATAAATTCCAAATGGATCAAAATCTTAATGTAAAAAATGAAACTCTCAGAGCACTAGAAGAAACTATAGGAATAATCTAAAGTAATGTTGGAGTGAGGAATCCCTTTCTAACTATGAAACAAAACCCAGAAGTCATAAGAGCTTAATACATTTGACTATATAAAACATTTCTTTATAGCAAAAACCAATAAAAGCAATATCAAAAGGCAAACATTGAACTGGAAAAAATATCTGCAATTCATATCACAAGCAAAGGGCTCATTTCTTTACTTTATGATTAGTTCCTACAGATCAATAAGATGATGACCAATAATTCAATAGGAAAATATGCAAATGATAGGAACAGACAGTTCTAATGGGAAATATAAATGGCTCAAAAACATACGAAAAAATGCTCAACTTCATTCGTAATCAGCAAAATGCAAATTAAAACTCTACTGGATCTTGAAAACATTATGCCAAGGGAAATAAACCAGAAACGAAAGGACAAATATTGTATGATTTCACTTGCATGAGGTACCTGGAATTGGCAGTATCACAGAGACAGAAAGTAGAACAGAGGTTGTCTGAGGTGGGGGGGAGGGAGGTATGGAGAGTTAGTGTTTGTTTAATGGGCACAGAGTTAGTTTGGGTTGATGAGAATGTTGTGGAAATGACAGTTGCACAACATCGTGAATATACTTAATGCTATGGCATTAGATACTTAAACATGGTTAAAATGGAATATTTTATGTAGTGTATATTTTACCGTGATAAAAAAAAGTTTTCATCTGATAAATTGAAAAAAAACCTCCAAGATAGTATTTTTTATTTATCAGACTGGCAAAGATAAATAAAATTGATAGCACACTGAGTTGTCAAAGGAGTGGGAAAATGGGCATTCTTATATGTTGCTAGTGGGAGTATAAGTTGGTTTCATGATTATGAAGGGCAAGTTAGCAATATGTATGTGTATTTCATAAACACCCATATCATTTATATCTCCATTACACCAGCAATTCTTCTTCTAGAATTTATCCTACAGATAGAAGACTTTACCCTAAAGATATGTGCAAAATAACATGCAAAGTTTCTCAACACAGGGTTGTTTGGAATAGCAAAAGATAGGAAACAACTTAGATCAACTACATATAGATTTATAAGACAGTGGTTAAATAAACTATACATCCATATTACGGAATATCATGTAGCTGTAAGAAAAGAATAAGGAAGCTCTTAATGTACTGATGTAGAATGATCTTCAAGATACTAGTAAGTGAAAAAAGCATGGGGCTGAACAGTGTATATAGAATGTTATTTACATAAAAAGTGTTGTGTGTGCAGGAATGAGAGTATTTGTATTCATTTATATATGCCAAAGTACCTCTGGAAAGATACATTAAAAAAAAGATTTATTTATTTACTTTAGAGAGAAGAGAGAGAGCATGTGAGCAGGGGGAGGTACAGAAGGAGGTGCAAAGGGAGAGACTGCAGCGGACTCCTTGCTGAGCACTGAGTGAGGAGCCTGAGGTGGGGCTTGATCCTAAGACCCTGAAATCAGGACCTTGAGATCATGACCTGAGCTGAAATCAAGAGTCAGAAGCTTAACTGATTGAGCTACCCAGGCGCCCGTGGAAAGATACATTTAACAGTGCTAGCTTCTGGTATTGGGTAAGAGGTGGCTAGGGGACAGAAGAAATAGACTGTACTATATATACACTCTTGTACCTTTTGAATTCGAACTATGTAAACACATTTCCTATTCAAACATAAATAGAGGGGCACCTGGGTGGCTCAGATGGATAAGC